CTCCCTCCCTTCTGCAGGACGGCTGTGTTCCTCTCACCTGGGCTGCACAGTGGACTCAATCTTGGGCTTCAGCTCAGCTAGCCTGGTTCCCTGCTCTAGGCAGATGCCCACCGAAGCCACCAAAGACCCACAACCTCATCTCTCGAGGAACAACTGTGAGTCCTTTTCAGTGACGGACTCTCGAAGGCTATGCCTTCCACCGACAGCTCCACCTTCTGCAGGTCACCAGTCAGCAATGGGGTGAGCAGTCCATTGAGGGTTTCAACGTGAGGATGGGACCAATCTCAGAGAAACGCGGTTTGCTCCCCAGCCAACCACAAGGCCGGGGGCAAAAACGATCAGTCCACTTGGGATTGAGTTCTTAATAACCAAGGGCTAGCCAAAGACCTCCCTTTCCTCCCTCTCCTGGCCTCTGTCCTCCCCGGAGAGCCTTGGGGACCCAGGGCCTTGTCCTCATCCCCTGGTTCCCCTCCCCCACTGCCGTATCCTCTCACAAGGGGGTCTAGATTCCCAGGGTCCTGGTCCCACTCCCTCCTCCTTGCCGTTGCCTCTTCTTAGCCTCAGCCTTGGTAAGGTGATGAATTAGGACCCAGGAGTTGGCACATCCACCCAGCAATTAGTGCTTATCTCCCTTGTTTATGTGGCTGAACAACGGCTCATTTTCAAACTCAATAGTCACTACTCAGAAAGATAAAACCAGGCAGGGCTCTTGGGAGGCGATCTGAGGGTTTGGCGGGAAAACGAGGATCAGTGCGCTGGGCCCACACCTTCGCCTCCAAGCACCGCCCCCTCTGGATAGTCACTCCCAAGCCCCCAGTTTTACCCTTCTGACCTCCCCGCATAGGCCCTTAGGAGGAAGGTATACATTTCCCAGTCCGCAGGTGGGAATCTGAGGATGGCCGAAGTCAGGGGGCTCTGAGTTTGCAGCCCTCAGTTGCCCCTCACCCTCGATTTCCAGGACTCTGGCTTTCCATCTCACACTTCCGATGGTGGTCTGCCTTTTAGGGTCCCGCACCATCAGGGGCTGCAGAACTGAACCGGACGTCCCACCAGCCCCTCCCTCAGACCCCACCCCCAGAGAGAACCCAAGGGCGGTAGCGCCCATACGGAGGGGACCCTCCCACGCCCTACCCTGCAGCCCTAGGCCAGGTAGGGCCGGGTTTGGTGGCGCGATCAGCATGCCCATCCTTCCTGCTCGCTGGGGGACCGCCGTCTGGAGTCAGACGTTCTACGGCCCAGGACTACAAGGTCTCGTTAGCCTCTGCAGAAGGGAGGGGACAAAGGGGCTCCCGTTGGGGGAGGGCTGCCTGAGTGAGTCCTGACCGCTGGATCAGGAGAAGGGAGGGAGGGAGGGAGGCTCAGGGAACAGTAACCGCGGGGAAATGCTGCCACCTGCTGGTCATGTCTCCGAAGTGCAGGGAGCCCTGGAGCTGGTTCTGCCGCTAGAAAAAAGAGGGGCCCCCCTGCTGGTCCCTCCCGTGCAAGGTTAAAAAGGTTGAAAAGACAGGAAAATCAAGCTTGGTCCCAGGTTAGGATATTGTTGTTGTTGTTGTTGTTGATTTGACAACAATAGTAACATTATCTTGTCTCAATTATTGAGAGCTCGCGCTTCATGCACACTGTTTTGTTGTTCCCAAGTACCCTTGAAGAAGCCCGTTAACTTCCTGGAGGCTGGGTAACTTGCCTGAGGTCTCACAGCTGACGAGTGATGCGGTCAGGATCCTGACTCAGGCAGTCTGGCTGCAGACTCTGTACTCTAGACTCAGAAGCCCTGGTCTTGGTTCCCCACACCATGCAACGCCCCAGATGCCCCCTCACTGGACGTCTCCACGACTCCCCTTGTTTCCTTCACCCTCCACTCCCACCACCTCTCCTCCCAGATACTGCTTCTTAGCCCCCAAGGCCTGTCTGCACGCTGCACTGTTCTAAGAAAACAAACAGAATCACCCCTGGTATCAGGGAGGCCATCCTCTGGTGGGTCCTGAAGATGCAGGCCAGGGCAGAGCTCAAAGGTGTCTGAGCCCACAGCCTCCCCGCTCTGAACAGGGTGGCGTCTCCTTGGGAAGGGCCCGGGCCCCGACAGTCAGTCAGGGTCTAAAGGTGGGGTGGGGCAGCTGGGCTGGGTGAGGGGAGCCTTGGGGATTTGAGAGTCCAGTCCTCCAGCCTCCTGGCTCTCAATCTAGTCCTGATCACAGAGCCCCAACCTGAGGCCAAGCTCAATTTTCCAGTCCCTTCGAGTCCCCCTCGCTGTGGTCTCTATTGCACAGATTATTAGAGCTGGGAAAGGACCTCAGGAATGTTCCAGTGGAAACACCTTTTGTAGACTGGAAGGTCAAGACCAGAGAAGGCAAGCAGCTTGCCCAGACCACACAGCCCAAAGTGACAGAGCCAGGAAGAGAACTCCCAACTCACCTGGCCAGGACTTCCTGTGGAGCCCCAGTTCTGCCTCCCTCCTCCAGCCCAGACCCCAGCGAGTCCTCCCCCCAGCTGTCAGCGGGCTACCCACGCACCCAGAATCACCGAAGGCCCAGAGCTGGGTACGGACAGGAGCAGGGGGAGCCTGGACCAGGACTTGGCTGGGCCTGAGAGGAACAAGAATGGAAATGCAGTCTTGTCTCTCCTTTCTCTCTCTTCTGGGGAGAGATGCTTCCTTCCCGCTCCCTCCCTCCCTTCCCTCAGCCTCTGGGGCTGCAATAGTCCTGAGTGTTCCCTCATGCTGGGAGGGGAGGCATTCTAAGAAGCAGGAAGAGAGGATTCCCCTGATTGCTTTCTGATCACAGCTCAACAGTAATGGGACTGGGGAGGATGATGCGGGGAGCATGATGCTCCGGGGACGTCCCCACCCAGGCCCCAGCAGAGGCCCAGGGCCTCCCAACACTGCTGCCCTTCTGTCCCCCCCACGCTGCAGGTGTCAGCTCCCGTGAGGTCCTGGCCTAGGACAGGCAGGGGCCCACCTGCCCCATGGCTTTGGGCCCTGTGAATTCAGCTGGACCTGGCAAGCTTTGGGGAGGGCTCCAAATGTGGGGAGCCAAGGCCTTTCTCAGAGAATTGGAGCATCCCTGGAGCCCAGGAGAGTGGCCTTCCCTACCATCACAGCCACAGTGACTGATAGTCCTAAAGGTCAGGAGGCTACAGAGGAGCGGGTGCCCACTGAGGTGGGCCTGCGGGGGCTGTCACTCCTCAGAGGGCATTGCTTATAGAACCAGTACCCAGGCAGGGGGCTGCGGGGAGCAGCCAACCCCAGGGACACTGCACATGCAGGTCCCAAGGGAGGGCACTGAGGTGTCGGCACATGGCGGTCCCACTGGTGGTCGTCTCTCCTGACAGAGCCTGAAGTCCTCCACCTGCACCCTGGGGCCCCTTGACCTCTTCTCCTTTCTCACCCTCCTTCCCCTCCGTCTCCCCCTTCTTGTCCGTTTCTCTCTTCCATTTTCTGATTCCCAGGAGCCCCCTTCTGGGAAGCCAGGCTGCTGGCTGACACCCTAAAGCTCCCTAGCCCAGCAGGGCAGGGAGAGGAGGGGGCTGCCCCCCCCCCCCCGATGATGGAGCAGCAGTCAGCTCCTTTGGGTACTTTTCCTAGGTTGGGGGAGAAGGTTGTTGCCCTGGTGTCATTTGGCCCCTAGTGGGGAGCAGAGCAAGGAGGGACAGTGAGAATGGAAGGTCCTGGGGGGCCTGGCCAAATCAGGGGAAAGGACATGATTTTCTTGCGTCCTCTTTCCCTCCCTACCAAGTCATGCTTCCTCCTGTCTTGCTTGCTTCTTCCAGGAAGCCTTCCCTGACTGCCCCTGCCCAGGCCTCTCTGGGCTCCCAGGGACTGGAAGGCCTCATCTCCATCCTCCGTGCCCCAAGCTCAGGGGGGGCACTGCCCTCAGGAGTCGGGCTGTCCTGCCAGGCCTCAGCTGGAGGCTCCCGCCCAGGAAGCCCCTCCCACGACTACTGCCCTCAGGGCTGAAGCCTCTGGTCAGCCTCCACTCCAGCCTGCACCTAGTCACTCCTGGGTCCTGCTCCCCTCTGGGGACTCCTGGGTAAGCTGGCCAGGGGGTCTGAGCACTCACAGCCCTCGGGGTAGTCAACATATCCCCAGGACCCCACGCACTGTCCTCCCTCTGCTCGTTGTTAACTGAGGCCTGCTCAGAAAGGCCCAGTCTCCTGCACTGCACCTGAGGGACTCAGATGGGGGTGGGAGGGGTGGGAGGGGTGGGAGGGAGACCCAAAGGAGCCACGCCTTCTGAAGGAAAGAGGGATGAGGACCACATACTCAGCAGAGGCGGGAAAAGCGTGTTCAGAAGAACTGCCGCCAGTCCCCCCGGTGACCTCAGGGAAACGCTTGTTCAATACACAAGAAGTGGGTCATCAGTGGTTTATTCAGGAGGGGAAAGCCCAAGCTGAATGTCTCCCTCCCTCCTCCCCTCCCTCGCTCCCCCAGCCCTGCAAGCTGGCCCCTCCCCAGAGCCCCCATAGGCCCTCCAGGGGCGGTGAGAGGAGGGATGAGCCCACCTCGCTGCTCCTGGTGGGGTCTGCTCTCTGGGCCCTGGGCCCCGTGACACCATGTGACATGGGGAATAGTCAGAGGGAAGAAGACGACTGATGGGGGCAGTGGACGAGGGTGAGGGGCAGCGTGTAGGGTACCCTTGTAAATAGTACCGGCAGTTACCAGCCCAGCCACTTTCACCGGCCGGCTCAGTTCCCATCACCAGGGAGGACACAATGATAAAACTAAAGAAACTCTATAGGTAATGCTATAAGTAAATTCTATAGGTAAATTCTATAGGTATTCCCCTTAGGGTAGCTGGGCCAGTAGCTATTTTCATGGGTGGATCCTATCCTGTCAAGGAATTGCTTATCTCAGCAGGTAGAAGAGAAGAATTTCTTGGCTAAGACCATCCTGCCAGCCAGGAGAGCCCATCCTCAGGGATCACAGACTCCAAGGGGATGTGGTAAGACCCAAGGCCGGGCAGGATGATGCCAAGACACAGAGAGGTTTCCCTCTGGGGTGGCCAAGGGCTGGGGGCTCTGCCAGGCTGGGCATTGGGAGATGGGACCAGAGCAAGCACCTAGGACCAGTCTTCTCTTGATGGGGCCAGGCCGCTGGGAAGAAGGTGGGCCCATGCAGAGGGGGATGGCAGCTCTCTTGGCCAGACACACACTGACCACGTTCACAGGGCAAGGGACCTTGGAGAGAAACGGCCAACAGGCCTGAAGACAGCAGAGGCGTGGACAGGACAGGCAGGCTGGTACCACAAACATCCCATGTAAGAGGAGGGGGTGTTGGGTTAGGGGAGAGAAGCCCACCTATTTCCATCACTGCCATGGTTGACCTCTGAACACAGGAAAGATGGTGACCGTCAGAAGTCACAAAGCAGGAAGGGGCCCGGATGGAGCCTGGCTAGTTGGGGAGGGGGGGAGGCCAGGCTGGCCCTGAGGGGGCTGCAGAGGGCTGGGGGCGGGAGGCGCAGGGCCGGGCTCCATCCCACCCCGCTGGGACAGTAGCAAGAGCAGCAGGATGAGCTGGGGAGGGCAGGGCTGGCGGTGCCTCCTTCTGCCTGCTGGACTCACGGGGCCTCGTTGGACCCGATCCCACTGCCTTTGTTGACGTAGAATGGCCGGTAGTGAGACTGCGGAGAAATGAGGGCAGTCAGGGAGAGCAGATGGCCGTTGAGCCTCCTCGCCAGACCCAGCCGATCCCGGCCTCCCCCAGGAAGCAGCAGTGGTCTGAACCCCAACAGTTTTGGCAGCCTATGGCCTAACTTGCAAGCTCTATCTACCCTTTGATGCGGGTTGGGCCCCAAGGTTATCCGAGTGTCCAGGGTTCAAATCCTCACTAGAGTTCATTCCATCAGCCAGTTGGTGAGCTTGAACTTCAGCCCCTCGTCACACTTTCTCTCCACGGCCCAGGAGGGTCCTCCCAGCACCACCACAGCGCCATTTCCACAGTGCTTTCTACCCTACAGACCACACAGCACTGGTACGAGTGCTTTACACGGAGGGCTCATCCAAGTTTTACAACCACTCAGTTAGGTGGGTCACTGTTAGCAGACCTGTTTTACAGATGAACAAACCAAGGCACAGAGAGGTTAAGCAACTTGCTCAAGTTCACCCAGCTGGTAAGTAGAGGGGCCAGGATTCGAGCTCCAGCTGTCTGGCTCCTGAGTACACCCCCAACCCCAGCCGCACGTCTCCACACCTCTTCTTGAGTCTCAAGGACTTCAAGTGTCTGCTTCTGCTCTCTCTCTGCATAATTCTCCCTGGCAGAGAGGGAACAGAGAGGGCAACCAACTGCCCCAGCCCAATGCAGACATGGGCTCGCCAACCCCAGTCCCTCTGCATCTCCCATCCTGGCCCCCTCCTCAAAATACAGGGAGCATCTCTGAGGACAGAGCTGGTGACGACTTTCCCGTTGGCTCCATGTGTTACATCTCACAGCAATTTCATGAAATCAGCACTCCCCTCCTCCCAGTCACTTCCTCAGGGCCCTGGAAATGGCCCCCCAGGCTGAAAGGGAAGAGCACATTTTAGCTGCTGCTTGCCCACGTGAGCACGTCATTCACTAGAGGGTCTCCGGAGGTTGTCTTTGTCCCTGGGCTGGGCCAGAGACTGAGCCCACCTCACACCCCACTGATCCCAGGACAGGAGACGCCAAGGGGGTCCCCAGCCCCTGCCCTTGGCCATGCCTGCCTGGAAACTTGTACCGACTGGTAGCTCCTGGCCTCCGTCTGGTCCAGAGCAGGACTCGGGGCCCTGTGGAATGCAGGGCTGAGGGTCCTCAGCTCAGACCTCAGTTAAATCATCTACTAAACAAAGGGAGGGACAGGACCCAGGGAGGGCAAAGACAGCCAAAGTCACACAGTGCTCAGCCACAGAGCAGGCCCTGGACAGGTCTCCCGGCCCCCAGCTCCAGCCTGGACCCCAAAGTCAATAAGGCAAAGCGAACAGACCTAGAAATGGCTGAAGCCTTTCTGTCAGGAAGGCTGGGTCAATAAAACGGATCACAGGTCAGTGAATGGTGCTGTCTTGTTAGGAACCCTGAGTGGTGGGTGGGCAGGAACAGAACCCATGGCATCCAGGCAGGGTGCTCCCCCACCTCCTAGCTCTGTCCCCTCCCTGGTTCAGGGTCACAGCATGTGAGAGTCGGAAGAGCTATGAAATCATACGGGCCATCCAACTCATGTTACAGATGGGGAAACTGAGCACCGAGGAAGAATGACTCACACGAGGTCACACGGCAAGTTGGTGAGAGGGCTGGGCCAGGCCTCAGGCATCCTGACCCTCAGGCTAGCCCTCTTTGCACACTAGCACCTGCCTCCCTCCCTCCAGCGCTGGGTGCTAACTGGGGCCACCAGAACCCTGCCTTGCCGGGTGGCTCAAGGTGACAATGAGCCTTCTCTGCTGGGACCCAGGCTGGGAGGGTGGGAAAGTATGTGGCAGGGAGGGGAAGGACCAAGTCTGGGAACAGAAACTTTCTTTTTTCTCCCCATTTCTGCTTTCTGCAGTCCTGCTGTTGCAATGCCCCTGGGCTCCACTCCAAATTACACACACAGTCACTTAGCTCCCATCGCCGGCAAATTAAAGATGCTCTCCAATTAAACCAGCCCCAGCCACTCTTTGTGGCCCAGAGCAAACCACCTCTCCAGGCTGTGACCTCCGAGTGCAAAGACAGCAGGGTGTCGGGGACTCCAGCCCCCGTCCCCAGCAGAGGCTGCCCACATCCCAGGGGAGCTGGCTGTCCCCTGCAGCGGGGCCTGGCCTGAGCCTTTGGGAGAGACACACTCGGGGAGGTGGAGGCACAGCATGAGAAGGACAGCCCCCAATGGCTGCGGTCTCAGGCAGGGGTCAGGTCTACAGAGTATTAGGGATCACCTCATCTCAGCACTGCATCAAAAAAATGAAGAAACAGAGTCCCAAAGAGAGATCTGCCTCACCCAGCAGCCAGCAGGTGGCCTGGACCCCAAGGCCATGCTTCGTCCTGTGTGGCTCTTCGATGTCCCTGGCTCAGGGTCATTAGATAGCAAACCCTAAATATATCTGTTTCAAACTTTGCAGCCTCTGCCTTACCCACGCTCTAATCCCAAGGACCTCTCTGCTGTCAGAGGTGGATAACTGGCCCAGGGGAGCGGGACCCACCTCTAGAACGCCCATCCCCTGGACTAAGCATCTTTCACTCCCAGAGATGGTGGGGACCAAGCCATCGTTCAACAAGCATAGGCACCCAAGGACCTTTTGCCAAATAAAAAAACAGGGCTGCCCACTTTACAGATTAGAAAGCTGAGGCCCAGAAAGTGTGTGTCACCCAGGTCCCCTGCCTATAAGCCTCTACTACCCTTATGCTGAAAGCAGGTATTCAGGCCACCGCTGCCTCCTCCTCCACCCCATGGCCCAGAGGTATTACCAGCCTCCCACAGGCCCCGGGCAAGTGATGACCGGTTACCTCTAGGGAGCCCCATGCAGTGCCCATTCTGGACATGCTCGTGCCTGTGGCAGGCTCTCCTGGCAGTCCCTCACTCACCAGCAAAGTCTGCTTTCCGGACTTCCAGGTCTGGGGCTGGGCCTTGGGGCTCTGGCTCCGCATGAGGGAGGGGTAGCCTGCCGAGACAAGAGGCTCCCGTTGGGGGGAGTGTGGACTGGTGGCCAGGGGCCCCAGAGCCAGGGAAGCACAGATGCCATCTCCAGAGTGCCCACCAAGCTCCATCCAGCCCATGACCAATGGCAGCCACCCCTGAAGAGGCGTGCAGCAGCCCGGGGCCGCAATGGAAAATCCTGCAGGGGCTGGCCGAAAGGAGGGGGCAACAAGGCAGACAGAAAGAGGAGGAAGAGGCCAGGTGAGCTGGGCCAGGCAGCGGGGGAGTCTCACCCCCAAATCCAGGCTAGGATCAAATCACTGTGTGGGGATTTCCCCCCACACCCCACTCCTCTTCCCATGGCCCAGGATGGCCACTTCACACACACAGCCTGCCAGGATTTCCACCAGCAGGCACTCACTCCAACTCTCCCAAGCTGCGTGGACTATGTTCCCGACTTACTGGCCCCACTCAGGCCAAGCGCTGTGCACGTCGTCTCACTGAGCCCCCAGCCCGGTTCTGTGAGCTCAGCCATTTGCCCTGAGCTGCGCAGCGAATAAGCAGCGGTGGGAATTTGAACCTAGGTTTTACTGGATGCCAAAACCAGCCTCACGTCCCTCCTGCCCCTCTCTGCTGCCTCAGCCCTGCTTCCCCAGCAGGAGGCTGCGGCTCAGAGACAGGCAGTAGTTTGCCTTGTGGCTGCGGGCCAGGGTTAAGGCACCAAGCCCAAGGGGCCCAGAGCATGTGGGTGCCATTTGGGTCTGGGCCTAGAGGTGCTGGTCCAGGGCCCACCTCCCTGCCTCCCCCCTCAGCCCAGCGGGATCTGTAAGGAGCTCTGGTCCACAGAACTGTGAAGAGCACTCTTGGTGTCAGCCATCGGCCTGCAGGGACCGGCAGTGGTGCCTGGGAAGGAACAGGCTGTGACCTGGGCTGGAGCAGCTGGAGAAATAAACAGGGTCTGTCCGTGGCTGGGGCAGCCGGGAGGCCTGTCCTGGCCTGCTCTAAGGGAGGAGGAGCTGGGCAGGCCCAGAAGTCACCTGGCAGCACTGCCAGGCTGCCAGGTAGGCTGGCCCTCCCCAGGGTCGGCACTTAGCAAGGGGGCGGAGACAGAGCAGAGAAGCCAGGTCTGTCCCTGCATCTGGGGGTGGGGTAATCTTGGAAAGAGAGGGTTCAGAGGGTCTTGAGTGGGGGACTGAGAGGGGGGAGTTCAGGTCTGACTTCTCAGATCTCAGAAAGAAGATCCCATGCCAGCCACGAGAGAGGAGAAGATGGGGATGGGTAGGGCTGTGGGCCAGGAGGCCAGCCTTGTGCAGCAGGCAGAAGTCCAGGAGGAGGGGGAGCTAGGGATGGGGGGCCATGCTTCCCTCTTCCAGGGGGCTCTGGGGAAGAGGGACCAGGACACCTTGGAAGTGGCAGAGAGCCCCACAGGATGTCCCACCTGCCCCATTGTGGGAGAGAAAAGGGGAAGGGGAAACTGGCAGGTACCAGGATTATTTTTAAACAGCCCACTGCCGTCCAGTGGTTTGGAAAACTCTGTGGTGGCCTGTCCCAAGGTGGTGAACTGATAGGGGACTTTCCCAGTGCCTGCTGGGAGAGAAAGAGGCATTAGCAGCTGGTGCTGATCCCAGGAGGGGCCAGAGGGAGTCACAGCTCACCCTGGGGCGCTGTGGCCCACCCCGCCCTGCGCATACCCTGCCTCCCTCCAGGACTGTAGAAGGAGGGGCAGGTGGACCGGTCCTCACAGGCGGGGTTCTCCTTGCACACAGGAGGCCCCTGCCCACAACCCCCCACCCGAGGCCATCCCCAGCAGATCTGGGGAGCTGATCTGCGTGAAGGTGACAAGGGGTGTCCGTGTGCTATGTCACCCCACAGTGTATTTGAGGAGGGCTCTCCTAGGACAAAGCCTTCCAAGGGGAGGCCGTGCAGGCCGATGAGGAGAGACTAGACGTGTGAAAGGTCCCATCACGCCTGAGGGTGGCCGTCTTCCCTGCCCGTGGCCTTTGATCCAGGCTTGACCAGAGAGCAGGGAAGGATGCACTAGAAGCCAGACAGGCCGAGGTGAGTCCCAGAGCGGCCCAGGCCTGGCTCAAGGAGAGGACGTCCCTGAGGGTCCTGCAGGCTCGAACCCTCCAGTCATATTCCCTTCTCCTTCACCTTGCTGGTCCTTCCAAGCACCCCTGCCCTGGTGTAGGCTGGATCCCAGCCTGGCAGGGACAGCTGGCCTATGAAGACGCCCTCTGAGGCTATGGCATGAGGGTGCCTGCCTTGCGCAGCCCCGTTTCTGCTCCCTCCCTTGACCCCGCCCAAACTGTTTATCCTTTCCTCCAGGCCAGATGTCAGACTGACAGGCTTCCTCCCACTGCAGCCCCCTGGAGCTGTCCCCAGGACACTGCAGAAGAGACATGAGGGCCCCAGGCCCCACTGTAAGCTGGGGTCGGGCTCCAGCCTGCCCCTCAGGATGACCCCACCCCCGGGGGCAGGAAGCATTGACTGCTCAGCTTCGTCAAAGATTTCCCTGGAGCAGGGTCAGACTCATGGGCACTTGGACCTCATCTAGCCTCGCCTTTCCCCGTGGGGCGCCGCGGGACTCTGGCTCTGCGGGATGTTGATGGGTGCTACGCGGCCACAGGGTTCTAGAATCAACCTAGGCTGGGAGTCTCTGGGTAAACAGTTAAATAAACTTTCTGCAGTAGGAAGACGTGGAAGTTAAGCCCAACAAAAGCACCCCGGGGATGTCCAGGGTCGGGGGGTGTAGAGGGTGTGGCGTGTCCCCACCTCCCTGACGACATCCTCAAGGACCGGTGGTGAAGCCCTGAGACACAGCAATGTGGCCCAGCCCTCAGCACAGCAAAGATGGGTGGAGGCAGCTCCCCAGCTCTCAGGCCAGGGCTCTGTCCCATGCAAGGTGGGGAACTGGTGAGGGAGAGGGCAGAGACCCACACAGGGCCTGGGGAGTGAAAGGAGAAGCAGGCAGGGTGGGGAGAGCTCACCTTTCAGGGAGAAGGAGGAGCTGCCCTGGACGGCGGGCAGGTCATCAGAGTTCTGAATGGTGGAGGAATATTCCCAGACACGGGAGGTGTAGTTGCCTGGCAGGGCAGAGAAAGGGGCGTCAGGCCTCGGCAGCCAGGCATGGGGGACGGAGGGCAGGACTCGGCCATTTCTGTGACTCTCCAGCCCCCGCCACATCTCAAGTGGGATGCTGCTGTGCCCCAGTCAGGCCTCCTGCCATCAAAGTTGTCCTACTGAACTATACAGTGTCATCCTGTCCCGGGCCTACTAAAGGCCCACTGTCCTCAGATTAAGGTACAATGTCCTTAACAGGGCCCACAGCTCTTTCATGAGCTGCTCCCCCGACCCTCTCCACCGGCTCCACTTCCTGGATTCACCGCTCTTCCCTCCTCTCCATCGCTAAACATGCCGACCAGGCTGCTCTCTGAGCTCCTTACACACACCAGGCTCTCTCTTGCCCCAGGCCTTTTGCACGGACCAGGTCCTCTGCCCAGCATCCCCCACCTGCTCTCCCATCCTTAGCAAATGCACATGCTGGGTCTTCAGGTGTCAGCTTCCATGTCATCTCCTCCAAGTCTGTGTGTGCCTCAGCCCCATGCCCCTCATCACCCTGCAGCCCTGTCCCCCGGGTTGTAACTGCATGTTTAATTGTCTGTCTGCCCCACTGGGCTCTATGGGGACAGTGGGTACGCACGTCTGGCCCGATATCACACCCCGGGCCTGGCACCACGCCTGGTTCCTGGAAGGTGCTCATCATACGGTTGGTGGATGAATTAAACAGCAAATGAACAAGTTCAATGCAAACATGTGCTCAAACTTGAGGACAGAGGCAGCTGATACAGCTCCTGAAATTCTGTTTGCCAAGTTGAACAGGCCAACAAATGTCCGTTGGCAAGATGTCCCTGCAGTCTAGAGGGAAAGAGGCAGTGGCGAGGGTATAGACGGAACGGCAGGGGCATCACCAGGTCATTCGAGTGGGGGGCTTCAGAGCTCCCGTGGATGAGGCACCCTCCCTGGGCCCTCCCTCTCAGCAGGCTGGGAGTGCTGGGGGCTCTCCTGAGTTAAGCTCCACAGCAGAGCCCACCAGGCCCGGGTATCCTCTCCCACCGCTGCCTGAAGCGAGGGCTGGGGGCTGACCTTTGGGTCAGCGGTCAGAGATGGCTGGGGCTGCCAGTGTGAGTCCCTCACACAGGGATCTCGGGAAGGTTCTGCAGCAAGGCCCTCCATGAACAGATCCACGAGGGCTCCAAGGGGCCCTATGCCTGGCCCTTTCATTCATTCATTTGTCCGCTCGTTCTTTCTTTCAACATGTGTTTCCTGAGCACCTCCTCATTCTTCTGGGCCCTGGGGCTGCAGCAATGGACAGGACAGACCCAGCTCCCACCCTCATGGAGCTCACAGTCTACCACACCTGTGGGCCCAGCCTGGATGTAGGGGACTGGGTACTGCCCTGCCCGCAGGACCCCTGACCTTCCAGATCGCCAGGGGCCTTGTCCTCGCTGAAGAGCCCCCCACCCCCTTCCTCACCTCTTCAGACCTCCCGGTGCTGTGTCTGAGGCTGGGGCTCTGGTGGAGCTGTCCCGGTCCCCTCCCTCCCTGCACATGGCTGCATGCACCCAAGAGACTTCCAGAATCTGGGCTCTTTGAGCACATGGCCTTGCCCTCAGTACAATGGTGCCCTCTGCACACCGAGCGGAGGGGACCCTGAACTCGGCAGCTCTCCCTGGGGAAGCCACGTCTCCACCCCCAAGTCCTCCTGGATTTCCAGCAATGGCCCCATTTCACATCACACCATTCTTTCCATTTCAGCCAAACTAGCTGCTTTAACCACGGTATGACTTTTCAGTGCAGAAGTCCACAGATCAGTAAAGATTCCCTGTGGGTCCTCATGTCTGATACTTGCTGGGGGATGTCTCCACACCTAACCCCCTGCCTCATCCTTCAGGCAGAAGAGCTTAGGGAACTCACAGATTTCTAAGGATGCTAAACTCTCTGGCTGCCTTTCCTCAGCCTAGCTAACAATGTCACATACACTCACACAACACACACACACACCCCACACAGGTGCACACACCACATACACCCCCCCACAGGTACACACATCAACATGCACACACACAAACCTGTACACATACATGCACATGTGCACATGGACCACACAGTTTAAGCTCAGTAAGACCCTTCCCACCTGTCTCTGGGTCCCCAAGTCCATCCAGCTCCCCAGATTCACTACACACTGGTGAGTCCAGCCCCCCTCATCCACGGCCCAGCCCTGGTCCCCACCCCAAGCCCCATGTCCTGCCTGCACGGCCTCCGCATGCGCCTGCCCATCCTTAAGCTGACCCATCCTCCTACCTTTGGTGCCATAGAGGTTGCTGAAGTTCTTCTGGTTGGTCTCCTTGGAGAGGCGGCTGGGGGACCCCGGCTGGTACGACGTCCTGGCCCCACCTGTGAAGCAGACCAGGAGGGACCATCATCACAGAGGGGTGGGTCTAGTTCAACTCAGGGGCCTGTGGCCTCTGACTTGAGGGGTGCTACGCAGGGCTCCTTGCCCCTAAACAGCTCCCACTGACTGTCACAGGGCCCGGATTCCACCACTAGCACGGCATCTTTGCATCTAGTATAAGGCCATCATCCACGTTAGGACACTCTTGAGAGACAAAGGGATGCTGTTAGTAACGATCCTGAGAGCCCCGGGTATAAGCCCGGAGGGGCCTGGACAAACTACGACTGTATCGCCACCCTACTCAGGGGGCTTGGAGTGTCACCAGAGGCTGGAAGAGCCAACGCTTCCCTCCTGAGCCAGTCCCTGTGTGACTGAGAACCCAGAGGCTGGGATATGCGGTGTCTGTGAGGAACGAGGGCCATGGCAAATATGGTGGGCAGAGGCACTGGGCCTTTGGCCGAGTGAGGGCTGCCACTTGAAGAAGCCTGGTGAGCTGGTGCCCATGAACACTGCCCAGGCGCCTCCCCCCAGGGATGAGAGCCTTCCACTGCACGGGTGCTGCCCCCCAGGGATGGGAGGTTTATGCTGCACAGGCGCTTCCCTCCCCCCATTCAGGTTCTCACAACAATCTTGGGAGGAATGCAGAGGGGGATCAATACCCCCACTTTACAGGTGGAGAAAATGCCCTCCCCACGTGTGTCGGGGTCCTCCTGTCAGCTCTTCTGCTCCCCGCCTCACCAGCCCCCTTTCCATTCTGGCCCACCTGGGCCAGCAGCTGCTGGTCCTTCCTCTAAGCCTTTGTGCCTGGGGTTCTTCTCACTGGGGGTTCCTCTGTCCATCACAGCCACGCTCTCTTTACCGAGCATGCCGCCCCTCTGTCAGGGAGCCTGGAAACTAACCTCTCCTGAGAAGCCTTTGCCAATCCCGCTGATCCCAAAGCTCCAGACCCAGGCCCGTGGCCCTTGGGGGCCTTGTTCCCTGATCTCCTTGCTGACTCTCCTTGGCCTTCCCTGGCCTCTACCCAGAGCCCAGGAGCTCCCAGAGGGCAGGTGCCTCTCCTCCCATCCCCAGCGCAGGGGCAGGGACGCCGGATGAACCTGTTTCTCCCATGTGCAAATGTCATAGACTGACTCACGGTGATGGAGCTGGAGGCTCTCCTCGCATAGCATTTGAGTCCAACCTCCTCTCTTCTCAGATGGGGACACTGAGGGGGCAGTGGCCAGCCCAAGGTCACCAGGCCCTGGCTCTGGGAGTGACATCTTGGCAGGTCTGTGCTCTTTCCTCCACCCCCATTGCCGCCCAGTCCCCCTCCTCACAGCCTGCAGTGGAGTCACGCTGCCCTCCATCTTCTCCAGAGCAGGGGAGCCAAGCAGGGGCCAGTCGTGTGTTGATGCCACATCAGGGCCTGGCCCTCAGGGGACAGGGAGAGCCATCAGGGACGGGGCCTGGGGCAGGGGGTGCTTGGGGCGCTGGTTAATGCAGCTCATCCTCTTCCAGAACTAGGCCCAAAGGGCAGTTCCCTGGGGAGGGAGGGGGCAGGACTGGCAGCTGGAGCCTGGCCCACACCAGGAATGCGGGGCAGGGGGCCTTGGGCGCCTCCACAGGAGCCCAGGCGTTGTTCTCACGCTGGGTGGGGCGGCAGAGGTGCCTCTCCGCTGAGCTCACCTCTCCAAATCCCCTAAGCCCCTCCCACGGTGGACGAGTCTGAGGTGTGTGGATCAGCGCTGAGGGCCTCAAGGCGCCCCCTCGCCAGCCAGCCCGCCTGCCTTCCCCACCCCCATGTCTCCTTGCTCCTCCCTACCCACTCTTCCCCTGACACCCTCCCCAACACACGCACACACACACACCCTCTATCCAGTGTCCGGTGCACCTGGCACACCCACCCTTATGTAACGGGCATTGTTGTGGCTTGTTGCTGGTGCTCAAGAATGTGACAGCCTCCCACAGGACAAGGACAGGCAAGCGCTGGTCTCTACCCCGACCCAGGCCGGCACCCCCGCTGGCTGGGACTCTCCAGGGCTGGAGAGGAAGGACAGAGGGGCCAGGCTGCATGGCACAGCCCCCTTCCCCTCCCCCCCAGGAAGGGAGTGGTGAGGAAATTCAGAACACCAGCAGGCTGGCTGTCTGTCTCCCTCCCTGCCCTTGAGGAACAGAAGGGTTCTGGAGGAGCCAGCCCTCCCACAGGACGACAGAAACCCAAGCAGAAGCAAAACACAGCTGGGGCGGGCGGAGGGAGCGGGTCAGAGCGGCAGCCAGAGCGCCTCTGGAAGGAAAGAGAAGGAGGGGTGGGCTGGAGGCCAGGAGGGCACTGCCTGTGTCACAGGGGAGGGAAGCCTCTGAGGAGCAGCGTGCTGGATAATTTGTCGTCCAAACCAGGACACTTCTGAGAGCGAAAGGAGGAGCTGTTATGATTACACGGGGACAACAGGTACATGCCAGGACTTTTCCAGGCAGACCGAGGGTGGTCACTCGCCCACGGGAGGCTGGCCGAGTCTCTCACGGACCGTGCACCCCAGCGCAGGCTGCTCCCCCTTACCCTTGGGCGTGAGGTACATGGAGTATCTCTTCATGGTGTCTGGAGCACTCCACTCACTCGTGTAGCTGTTGGTGTAGTTGTTCATGTAGCGGTGGTCACCCCCTGGGCAGGAGAGAGGTGGGGTCAGCAGAGGAGCAGGTGGGGAGGAGAAGCTGGCCCACTGGGGCATCCCTGGGCTTGGGTGAGTCAGCCCATAGCCCTCTGTCCCAGGAAGAGGCAAGGTCCCGCAACCTCAGAATAGGTAACATCCCGCTCAGCATCCTGTCTTCTCCTGAGGGGCAGAGAGGGGCAGTGAGCTATCACCCTCCCTTGGACTGACCCCTGCGAGTAAGACCGTGTGCACAGCACTTTGCAGTTTACAAGGTCCACTGAGAGCCGTTTCTTGCTTGGGCTGGTGTGAAGAGGCTTGTGTGACAGATAAGGAAATTGAGCTCAGGAGGTGAGTGAAGTCACCTGCCTAATGTCACATGGCCAATAAGGACAGAGTTGGAGTTTGAGCCCTCGTCCCCACTTCCCGGCTCCATCCCAGACACTGCTGGCAGCCCAAGGGGGTGGAATGAGGTCCCAGCCTTGGCCTCCACTGAGCAGAGGTGTGCAAAGGGGAGAGAGCTCCTAGCGAGGGGCACCGACTCTCCCTGCGCCCACCAGGGGATCCCCAAACCCAAACAAATCTCTGGCTCCATGCTGCCTTCCCCCACTGCCCTCCACACTGTTCCTTTCTCTTGCTACTTCCCCGTCTCCTACCTTCGCTCTGCCCTTCCCTCTCCCTCTCTCCCGGGCAGGAGGAGGAATGAGCGGCTCAGACCCTCATCCTTCATCTCCATCACCTGTGCCCAGCGGGCCCCTGGCCCGCAGCAGGCACTCCATGACTAACAAACGTCCCCCTAGGGGTTGGCCAGCCCCCTCCCCCAGGATGAAGGTGGTCTGGTGCCTCTCAACCCAGCGGCCTTTGATGGCGGGAATGAGTCCCTGGTCTGGTAGGCAGGCCAGCACCAGGAAGGAGAGGATGGTCATTCCAAGGTCTGACTCACTGGTTACACCTCCCCCACCTCCTACAGCCAGACACACTCCCAGCAACAACACAGCAGTGACAAAAAACCAATGCGGAGGCCCAGGGCCCCAGGCACAGGTGTAGGGCCGCTGACATCAACAGCACCCACCCCTGCTCCGGGCGGCCACCTCCCTGCACACCTTGTATGGGACGCAGGGCCAGATCTGCACAGAGGCCACGGCCAACACAATCCTGACCTAGAAATGGCATAGTCGGTGGGCAGCAGGCAGGGGTCCCCGTGAGGCTAATAGGCCACGCAAGCAAAGTCAGGGCCATCCTCATAGGTCTGGCAGGCCTCAGCTGAGGGGCTTCCCCACCAGGTTTGTACTCAAGGGACCATGATCATCACACTCCCAGTCCCTCCACACGGCCAGCAGCAGCCACAGCTTCTCCGACGAGAAAACGTGGGAGGTTGACTAGCAGAGTGTTTAACTCAGCTGCACCCCTGCCTGGCTGCATGCCCTCTGAAAAGCTACTTCTCTGAGCCTCAGCCTTCTCATCTGTGAAATGCGATACATCCTGCAGAGAAAAGAAGAGACTGGAAGTGAAGAGGTCACACAAAGCCTCAATCACTGTCAGCCGTCACCATCAGCATCCTGGCCATTGTCATCACGAGGAGTTCAGCATCCGAGTGCCACTTGAAGCCAAATGGCACTGGCTGAAATAACTTATCAGTCCTCAGGTGTGATGGAATGTCACCCAGTTTCACAGGGACACTTTCAGGTTTCACCATCAGCAAGATACACAGATGCGCCCCTGAACCCCAGTACTTCTGCACACTATTACCCTTTTCTCATCCCCAAAGAATCACATGCTCTATTCGGAGAGCAAAGACAGGGGGGCACTTCCTTTGGGTTGTTGGGGCTTGAAATCATTAATCAGGCTGTGTCCACAAGGCCCCCTGTTGGGCCTGGGCCACGGGGTGGGGCCTTGGGGAAAGTGTCCAGGCTTCAGGCCCTGAAGGGACTTGGCTGGGACTGGTGGAAAAGGACTTAATGGGGTAGTTTCTCAGCTTAGGAGGCTTTCTGCGAGATGACTCAGTTGGCCTCTTCGAGGGACAGTGTGCCTCAGGAGAGAAGCTGACTTTGGGGGAGCCGGTGAGTCACCGAGCCACGCCTTGCCCCACCGTCCCCAGCCCAGCCCACCAGGCTGAGTCCAGCCTCTGGGCTCAGTGCTGGATGCTCCCTGCCCTGGCGGCCCCTTGTAATAGCGGCACAACTTTGGCAGCAAGTTCAAGGAGGGCTACAATCCCTGGATCCTAGTCCAAACAGCTTAGGTGGAATGGATGGCTGGGAACAAAGAGATGCTAGCTGGATGGATGCCAGCCTGCATCAGGCAGCAGGAATTGACCTGGGAGAAAAAAGCCCATGGCCCTGGGGCCCACCCACGAGAGACCTACCGTTCTCCATGTGGTTCCTCTCGATGAAGTTACGGCTCAGGTCAGCCTTGCACATCTTCTCAACGTGGCGCATGCACACATTGAGCAGGTCATCCTTGAAGTTGCCGAGGGACTGCCCCAGGCCCTCCCCCTCCAGCAGAACATGATAGGTGGGCAGGGGCGGGGGGAGGGAGTAACTGCTCATCAATGCACCGAATTCCTGCCAAGAAAGAAGCCATTCACTTCCGGGGTCTTTAGGAGCTATGGGGACCCTTCTCTGCAGGGGGCTCTCACAGTCCAGCTGGAAGGCTCGGCACTGGGAGCCAGAGAAGCTGGGTCTAGCAGCTCTGCTATGAACTAGCCCCAATTTTCCTCACTGGGCGCTAGTTTCTTCTTCTGTAAAATGAAAGGGTTTGACAAAATCCACTAGATGCTAACATCCCTGATAGCACTAGTAGTCAGATGTATGATTCCACAGTTTCCACCTCTGAAACTGGACACCTCATGCGTACCTCACAGGGGTTTATGAGAGTGACACAAGCTGCAAAGTCTTTCAGAGGGAAAGCACGAAGGAAATGCAAGAAAGTACTAGAGTGTTCTGGGTCAGTCATGGTGGTATCTCCAGCTTTACGTGCTCACTCAATCCTGCTGCCTCTACACTTTAGCACTTCTCACTTCCCTTCCACCTCACTAGAGAACCCCTCCTCCCCCTCAAGTCCTTACAGACCTTCAAGACCCAGTTCAGATCCCACCTCGTCCATAAAGCTGTCTGTGATTACTCTAGGCTGCTTGCCCTTCTCAGAGCTTCCACAGGCACTTATCTCCTAAACCATATGCTTTGTCATTTAATTACACACTCTTCTATATTGTTCTCTAATTGTACTGTCTTATCTTCCCAGTTGGATTGCAGCTCCTTGGGGGCAAAAACCATGTCTTATACGTCCCTATTCTCCACAGCACCTAATAGAGTACTGGGCACATAGTATCCGAAACACTCTAGCAGATGGAAGGATGGGTGGATGAATACAGACAGACAAGATCAAGGACAAGTATGCAGCACTTATCCATCACTTGCCATCACTAATCAATCACAGAACTCTTTCCTACTGAGTCTGGAGCACTGTTAGTACATATCTTCTAAAGTTGGTACGAGGTGATATTTGTGTACAGGTAGGAAAATGGCTTGGATGGAAAAATTAAATGGGTAGGGGGAATGGAGCTTGGATGAATGGATGGATGGATGGATGAATGATGGATGGTGGATGGATAAGTGGATAGACAAATGAATGCAGTATGAGGGTCTGAGAAAGCAGATGGAAGGATTGAGGGGTTGAATGGCAGAGTTGTTTCTTGTTACCTGCAGAAACAGCACCGAGTCGCTGATGCTGTGCAGCTGCTCCCTAGTCTGCTTGTCCTCATGCAGCACCTTGGCCCTCTCATCCAGAGCATCCACAATCACCTTCACCTGATCCACAGCATCCTGCTCCCGCTGCTCCAGTGCAGCCTTGATTTCCTCCTTTTGCTTCTCCAGGTCCCGCACCAGGTCCCGGAAGTTCTGCTCCAGGACATCCTTCTCACTGGTGGTGAAGTTCTGGGTCCAGAGTGAGAGGACAGAGGAAGGAGGGTTTCAGGAATTAAAAACCCTCTCTAGTGGGGAGGATCTTTAGGTTCCCAACACAGAGCCAGGGCATTTCTACTGCTCCAACCCAGCAAGCCTGTTTGGTCAAGAATCTCATTCACAGGCGCTGAGGGATACCATCTATTGATAGAGACAGCCAGGTTGTTTTACATCCCACCCCTCATTACCCATCTGTGGCTCCTCCCCCTTGGCAGGTTGACATGAGCCATCATTGTACCCTTGGGCAACTGCATGGGCCCAGAAGTTCCCCCATGAGTCAGATTGTGCTCACTGATATCTCAACCAGAACCAAACATCATTCAGAAAGTGAATTGACGGGCTGCTTATGCAGCCAGGATCAAGAGTTAATGATTTCAGACTGTGGTTTGCAATTACTCAAACCATGGCAGACAAGTAAAGGAGAAAGGCCATGTATTTGGAGGCTGGATAGTGTGGTAGGCAGAGCAGACATCGGAGGACATTGGAAGACATGTTGGAGGACAGGTCGGTCTAGGGTCTTTATTTGCTGGGATAATGTAAGATGAGCATAAGGTGATGGGCAAGATCCCACCTGGATGCCTGGCCCAGACATAGAAGGCAAATTCTGGGAATGCCAGAGAGGGTGGGAGAATCCAGAAGAAAACAAGTGTGGGATGTAAACGTAGGCCTGAGGCCGCCACCAAGATCCAAGGCCTGCCTCCTCCCAGGCGGGACAGGTGGGGGTCGGAGCACAGCACAGGAGAGGCCTGGAGGCTGCTCACCTTAATACGGTCCTTCTCCTTCTGCCACTTCTCAGCTTCATCCTCAACCTCAATGATCTTGAGCTGCAGCTGCTCCTTTTGCAGTGACAGCTCCGTCTGCAAAGAAGGAGCCGGGGTTGGAGGAGAAGTCAGGAGGAAGAGGTGGAGGAGGACCAGAGAATCAGGGACTGGGCCCATCGAGGGGGCAAACTCCACCAGGTCCCCCCATTCATCCCTTCAGCCCTTCACTCAGCAAACACTCGTCGGGACTTCGGAAGTGCCAGGCACCATGCCAGTCACCAAGGATTCAGCAATAGGTCAAACTCAGGCCTCTGGGGCTGGACGTTTCAGCCGTGTCTTTATAAAGACTAATCCTCTGCAGGGCCCCCACCCAACATGAGCAGGAAAGAAGCTCGTTTATGGGGTTCCCACTCTTTCCAATGGACCTGGGGCCACTGGGGAGAGGGAGGGAAGCTGCTGCCTCTTTCAGGCTTTGGGGAGAAAGGGGACCCAGCCCAGCACAGCCCAGCCCAGCCCAGGGAGTGTCCCGTGGCAGTAACAGTGTGCTGCGTTTCTATGGCATGACGTGGGGCCTGTGTTGCAAGCAGGAGCCGGGCTGCCGCCAGCGGAGACTCTGTCTGGGCAGGCACAGCTATAAACCTGTTTATGGGAAAGGGAACGCAGTCTGCAGTTTGGACAAGACCGGGACTTTTATTCAGGGCCCCTGGGGCAGGAGAGGAGCTAGTGAGCACGGCAGTGGAGGATGGAGGAGAGATGAGAAGCAGAGATTCCAGGGACCCCCGTTCATGGGGAGGATGTGGGCTGTTGGGGTCTAGGATGGGTTTGGAAGAGGATATATCAGGAGCGCACTGGTACGTGAGCTCTCGTATCCATACTTTCCTTCCACTTGGGGAAATGCCCCTCTCCAAAAAGCAGCTACCACAGAGACAAAGGGGGAGCGGTGAAGCTAAGGCCAGTCCAAGTCAGCTGAGCCAAGAGGCACCCCTTGTTCTGCTGGGCTCCCCGCTAGAGCTCTCAAAGCACCTTCCAGCTTGGAAGACAGAGGGTTGATCTCCACCCGACAGGCAGGAAGACCGAGGCATCCCAGAAGGCCTTGGAGGGCTCCAGGTGTCCCCATTATGCCAGGTTTGGAACACAGCGTCCCACCCCTTTCTCCAGCCATCTCTTTGAGGAACCCACAATAAGAGTCAAGATGTGGAAGCCACAAACCACTAAGAATGTGAGCTCCACCAGCAAGGAGTCCTGAGCAGCTAGGCACAGGCTTCACCACGTCACACCTCCTGAATGCTCCACCAGGCCAAGGGGCGTGCTGTGGGGTCCCTGCTGCAGACACCCAGGGGAATGGATTCATGGTGGAGACAGCTTCCCAGGTTTTCTTGGAAAAGGTGCCCAGAGGGCTGGGGAGCTGGTGGAGAAGGTGGGGCAGGCCTGAGGCAGGGGCTGCAGGGCCCCCAACAGGAAGCCCTGATGCCACCCCTGCCCCTCTGCCCATACTCCTGGGCGCTCCAGCAAGCAGACTCTAAGTTCTCAGTAAGCATCTGCCCTGCCAGTAGTGAGCTGGAAATCCCACAGCCCGGAAAATGCTGTCACCAGAGATGGAAAATAGTTGTCAAGAAGAGAGGAATGAAAGGAGATGAGGATGAAGATTTCGCCTGGTCTCTGAAAAAAGGCTGGGAAGGAGCCAGCTGCCAAGAGACACAATAGTGGGAGGGTGGAGAGCACAAGGCCCCACAGTGGATGGTGGAAGCTCAACCCTCACCCTCTCCGAGGATGCAGAGCCCGAGAGCCCAGAACACAGAGGTTGGAGGAGCCAGAACCCTGAGAACCTGGCCTGGTAGGTGGATCTGAGCAGTGAGGAAAGACCAAGAGGCTGGGCAGTGGGTCTGAGCAGGGCAATTTCCCATCCCTGGAGAGCTCCTGTGCTAGACCCAAGGTCAAGGTGTCCACTGGAGGCCTCCCTCCCACTGCAGCCAAGACTTACTAACTCAGCTTAGGGATGAGGAATCGGCACTTGGGTTTCTCACCCCCAGAACAAGGTCTGATGGACAGGAAAGCAGAGGACAAAAACACATTCACTCTCACTCCAGGCCTGGGGGTGGGAGGAAGGCAGCTCTTCCATGAAATGAGCATGAGGGATCCAGGAGGGAGCCCACCCGGAGCACAGGACTGGGAGTCCAGAGGTTTGAATCTAGTTACCACCACGTCCAGGCAGGTGGCCTTATTTAACTTCTCTGTGCCTCAGTTTCTCCATGTTTCAGGGAGGTCGTAAGAGGACCACCTTCCATGGAGGCCGTGGGATGAACTGGGATCAGGGAAGTGAAGCTCTCAGAAAGTGCCTGGCCCAGAGAAAGCACTGACCAGTGGTCCCAGCATCACCGCTGTGTGGGGCACCTTCCGTGGCCAGGGCGCCATGCTGGATGCTCTCGCTCTCACCAGGCTCTGAGGGTGAGTGCAGTGTGGCGAGCAGGTCAGCAGGGCATAGGCGAGTGAGGGGAGTGGGCAGTGTGACCAGGCGAGGTCTTGGTGGTATTCAGTGGTGAGGACGGCATACACCGTTGTGTTGGGGTCCAGGCACACTGTGTACACCATCAGGATCCAGAGTGAACCGTGCACAGAGAGGCCAGGAGGTGAAGACATTAGACTGAAGATACAAAATAGAGGCTTAGGTGGTGGATAATGGAAGCCTGGAGGATACTGGGGGGAACAGAAGGGAGGTAGGAATCAGCGGGTGGGGGTGGGCTATCCACCAGGGAGTGGGAGAAGGCCACCAGAGAAGACGAAGGCCAGCGGAGTGGAGGGGAGTGAGCAGAAGTGCTTGGAGGGACCTGCTGGGCACCTGCACGTGAGGAAAGGTCTTATCCAGAGGAGCATGGATGCGCTGGCCAAGAGAGGAAGAAGGCTTTGCGTGCAGAGGAAGGAGAATCCAGTGGGGTAGAACAGTGAGGAGCTTAGGCCAAGGGCAGAGGGAGTCAGCCCCTGGGAGTCCATCCTGTGTGAGGAAGAGGGGAGGGGTGGGGGGCTAGCTGAGGTGTGGAGAGGAGAGCCAGAGGCCTCAGCCAGTGCCCTGCGAGGGAAAGAGAGAGCAGCGGCTGATCCAGAAATGTGCGAGGGCAGGAGCTGTCTGCAGCAGTGGGCGGGAGACTCAGTCAGGACGCAGGCGAGACTGGTCTCCTTACTTCTCTGGGGTGCTAGGGAAGTCGGACACAGGCTGGGAGGGGACCTTGCTCCCACAGCACACCTTGCAAGACCAGACCTGCAGGACACAGCAGGATCTTGGAAGGGACCTCAGACTGGGAACTCTGTGCTGCTGGAGCAGTCCCGTCTCACCTCTGGGAGGAGGAGGGTTTGGGGTGAGACCTCGGGGGATGTATCCGGCATCTGTTTAACCCTCAGCAATCTTTCCCTGCTAGAGAAAGCAGGCAATAGGAAACAATATGACACAGGAAAGCTCCAAAGACACTGGGTTCTCCTGGAACACTAGGAGATGGTGAGACACCAACTTGTATTATTTTTTTTTTTTTTTTTTTTTTTTTTAAGATTTTATTTTTTCCTTTTTCTCCCCAAAGCCCCCCGGTACATAGTTGTGTATTCTTCGTTGTGGGTCCTTCTAGTTGTGGCATGTGGGACGCTGCCTCAGCGTGGTTTGATGAGCAGTGCCATGTCCGCGCCCAGGATTCGAACCAACGAAACACTGGGCCGCCTGCAGCGGAGCACGCGAACTTAACCACTCGGCCACGGGGTCAGCCCCACCAACTTGTATTATTGAGCATCCTTCATGTGCCAGGCTTGTCTCCTTTTATCTTATCTATAAAGCCCCCTGCGGAGGGAGTGGTGTTACCTCCATTTTACAGATGCAGAAACCAAGGCCTAGCAGGACCACGTAGTTCGCCTGAGTTCTCACGGTTAGAAAGTGGTGCCGCCAGGATGCAAGAGCAGGACACAGATCCTAAGACGTGGCCTCTAGGCTATTCTCTGCCTCTTCTGGGACATTGTCTGTCCCCTTCACTCCTGCTAACCTAAGTGCAGCCGGGCTCCCTCCACCTCACAGATGGTGCAATTGGTGATCCCGCCTCCAGCTATACTGCCCCATACCCTCCTCCGCCCCTGAGGCCCCGCTTTCTCTCTCCCTCCTCCCTTGGAATGTGATAAATGCCCAATAAAAGCCCCTGCCGTCTGATCAGGGCTCAGCTCCCCACAGCTCCACCCTTGTCTCCACCTCCCTGCTGTCTTCCTCCTCCTTGTCTCATTCCCTCCACCCTGCCCAGGCCTGTCCCTAAATGCCTCCTTTGTTCCCTTCTCCCACACTCCTCTGGGCCCCTCTCGCTCTGATGCCTGGGACGGGCCCTGCAGAGGCCACCCGGCCTTGAAATCCTTCCGGCCTTAGGGGAGCAGAGCTTTCCCTGAGAGCAGAGGGGTGGCACAGCAGCTGATGGTGTCCCCGCGTGGACTGGGCGTTCAGGTGCAGACACACCTGAGCACTCACCTGGACGTGTGTACCTGCCCCCAGGGAAGGGGAGATGGGGCTGTGGTCTTCCTCTAGCCTGAATTAACCACATGGGCCGCTGGCTGTGACATTTTCCAAATGAGCCAGTTAATTGCCAAATTTGTACTTTCAGACAAATGGTAATTACCTGGATAAGAATCTGAAAAGCTGGATAGATTTCCCCATTTCCATTCAGATGTCAAGCAGCCCCGTATTAGTCTCCTTGAGTGGGGCTTACCATTCGTCTGCTCCTCCAGGTGTCGGGACAGGGGAGGGGTGAGATGGGGCAAGAAGAACATCACTAAGGCCATCTCCAGACCAGCCGTGGGCCATTGAGGGAGTCACCCCACCTCCTTGGGCTTCAGTTTCCCCGTGGTGAAGTTGGATTAGATCTCTGATTCCCAGCCTGGCTACGCATTAGCATCCCCAAGGGAGACTGAAAAATAGAGATGCCAGGCCCCGACCTCCTGAATCACAACCTCCAGGGGTAAGGCCCATGAATCTGTGCCTTAGCAATTCACCAGACGATTCAGGTCAGAGGATGCTGTTAGGAGCCACTGGACTCAGTGACCCCAAGGAGAGCCTGCCGACCCTATGCAAGCAAAGTATAAAATGGTGGACAGGAAACGGCCTGGGCTGCGCCCACATAAGAGTCTGAATCCCAGCACCATAACTTTGGGTAAGTGTCTTGGCATCCTTGAGCCGATTTCTTCATCTAGAAAGCAGGTGCAGTAACCCCCACCCGAGGGACTGCTGTCAGGAGTCACCACATAAACGCCGAGCCCCATGCCTGTGCATAGATGCGCAGCAGGAAGACTGCCGTATCTCCTGCCCTCCTGCCTGTCACTCTGCTTCCCTGCTGCCTGTCCCTAAACCTCTTTTATTGTTGCTTCCTCGTCCACACCCACAGAGGTCACCAACCTCCTTTCTCACCCACCCTGTCCCAGAGCAGGAGTTCCCCCCAAGGACCTCTGGGGAGAGTGGTCCCAGCCTCCTCCATCACACCTCAGGCCTTTAGCCCAGCTCCTCCGCCTGACCCCTGTCATCACTCTCTGCCCAAAGAGCTTTCCTGCCCAGACCAGCACACTCCCAAAGCTCGAGGACCAATGACTGCCCATGCCCAGCGGGCTGACGGCTGAGCCTTCATGGAAGAATTGGGCAATGAGATGAGAAGCAAAGGCATGGGGCATATGAGAGAAATGAACAGAACCAAGTGACAGTCAGGAGAGTGGCCCAGGCACCAAGTCTCAGCCGTGCTGATGGGCCAGGAGCTCACACCTCCAGAGCAATGCTCAGGCAGAGTGCTCCCCCACACCTGCCTCGCCGTGCTGCCAACCCAGAGCCCAGCCTGGACCCACGACAGGGCAGGGCCACCTGTGGGTGCAGAAGCCAGGCAGGCCACCCCAGAGCCGACAGCCATCAGCCTGGAGTCGTCCTCCATCCTGTCCCAATGCAGCAGGTGGCTGGGGATAGATAGAGGGAGGAGCCATGAGACACAGAAAAGGATGGATGTGTACATTGTAACCTCATCAGCCTAAGCCAGTCTGGAAAATGTCCAGAGACAGAGGGATGGACCAGAGGACATCTGGGGGACCCCTTTTGACATCTGGAGTGGAATTGGAAACACTCCGACCTCGGGTCCACCAGAGGAAGGACTGTCGTGCTGCCATCCCAAGTGACCTTTCTCCAACACTGCCTCCGCTCGGAGTCTACAGGTAGAGCTGAGGCCCAGGAGAGGAGCACCCACAGCTCTGCATGTCGTCTACAGCCTCACGTAGCTAATCAAGACAGGTCTGCGATGACCTCAACTGGGCCTTCACCAACCTGCCCGCAGAACAGGTTCTAGACAGGGCTCCTTGCAGAAAGGCGTGTGTGGGCCGATGTTTGGGTCTGCAGGGGATGCCTCCAGAGGATGCCAGGATTGACAGGCTCGTTCAGTTTGATCCATCAACCCACTAACCCTGCTCTGTGCCAGTGTCCTCATGTCCGACATTTTGGCAGGGCCAGGCCTAGACAAACTGCTCTGCTCCAGCTCAGTCTCCTGGCTGCTTGGCACCACTCCTCCCTCCCTATCCTATCCTGGTGCACACGCGCACACACACACACACACACGCATGCACATGCACTGCATGAAGCTCCCCCCTTTAAAGTCACTCCTGTGGGTCAGACCTTTCCCCTGAGAGCTCCTATAAAGCACACCTATGCTGAACCCCTTCCCCTAAGTTGCTCTCAAACATTGGAAGAGAACTTAGGGACCTTTCCCCAAGCTCTCTGACCTTGGACGGGCCTCTTCCTTTCTCTGGGCCAGTGTCCCCATCCTCAAGGCGAGTGAGGGGACTGATTGCTTGCCAACACTCCCTCTGGGCTGGCGCTCTGTCCTCTACGATTTGCTGTTTCCTCACAGCTGCTGCTGCGTCACTGGGTGGATGCTCCCCGGGCTTGTTTGTGTGTCTGAGCTCTGCCTCCTGACCTACATCGGGAGCCTTCAAGAGCGAGGACAGTGACTTTAGTGCCACAGCGGCCCCCAGGGCCAGAGCATGAACTCGGAGGTCCTGGTGCCTCCAGAGAGGGCTCGCTGGGACCTTCCTGTCCTCCAGAGGCCTCAGGCTTTTCTTAAGTTGTGATATCTTTAGACATAATTTGGGGCCAAACCCTACGTATAAAACAGATAAACAAGAGTGTGTGCTGCTCGTAGTAGGGGTGAGAACATGCAGCCCCTGCTTTCTTGGTACCAGTCTGCCACTTCCTCATCCCTGAGGCCTCACAGACCTTTCCAAGAATCTTAGGACTCCATGGGGCAGTTTAAAACCACCAGTCTAGTCCAACCCCTTGCTTTCACATATAGGGAAACCGAGGCTGAGAGGGTGAAGGCACTTGTCCATAGACTTACAACTAGTTAGAGGCAAAAACTCAGACTGAAACTCGGTGGGCTCTCCTAGGACCCAGCCTGAAGCTCTGCAGTTTCTTGGTTGGGATGGAGGAAGATGACTGCCCCTTGTTCCGTTTTGCTTTCCCAAGCAAGCTCCTGAAGGATGGGCTCCACGGCCCCTGCCCCTTCTCCATCTCCCAGTCTGAAGCTTGAAGCCAGGCTAGGGCTGGGGAGTGGGGGGAACTAGGAACACCCTCTTCCAGGGCCAACTGAGGCTTCTGAAAGGAGCTTTGAGTCTGTTCTCATCTCACACTCGTCCCTCTTTGCCCAGGGGTGTGGGTGAGTGAATGGAGCAGGGAGAGAATAATCCACAAACTCCTGGTGAGGAAGGCAGAGCAGAGGAGCAGCCCTGGGCTGCCCTTTTCCAAGGGTGCAGAAGCTCTTGAGGAAGGTGGAAGCCCCTGCACTGACCACCAGGAAGTCTCAGGCGGCGGGAGGCAGCCCATGGCAGGGAGCCACGTTGCTGTCAGGGAGAGCGGGCCCAGCATCTGTGGGGTGAGGGGCAGCAGCCCCCGCAAGCCTTTAGCCCAGAACACCACACTCGCAAGCCTTCACACGCCTCAGCTCCTCCCATAGAGGTACAGACATAATCACATGTACACAGCTCGTGCCAACTCACTTACGTATCCCATACAGATATATGCAAACATCCATAGACACACACAAACACCCACATGCATATAAAACACACACACATATATACGTCTACCCCACCCACACACAAACCCCAGCCCTCACCAGTAGCACAGGCACGTCCACATAGAACCACACACTCAAGGCTCACAGGCCCAGCTGAGAGAAGGACAAAGGAGGCCACTGGGGGAGTCAAAAGGCTGGCTGGGGGATCAGACAGGACAACGAGAAGCCACTGACTGCAAAGGCAAACTCTGAAGCCAGAAAAAAAGGACACTGAAGTACTCCCCAAAATGCTTTCATCCTTACCCGTGACCCATTCCCCAGGGCCAGTCCCACTCAGGTGGGGAGAATTCTCTCTCCCACAAATAGAAACGTGAGGAAACACCCTAACGGCGCAGAGCCCGGGACTGAGTGCTGATTCCCTGATCTGACCTGAATTTATCCTGTGGCCTTATCAAGCCCCCAGTTTGCTCCTCTAGGAAATGCGCCTGTCTCCGGAGTCCTTAGAGCATTGGGGGAGCTGCCTCTGACCCCCAGCCTGGGGGTGTGGAAGGGAAAGAAATGTTTTCTTAAAGAACCAGGGAGAGCAGAGACTTAAGCCCCAAACCCCAGGAAGACTCGGGGGAGAAGATCAGGGTGGAGGGAGGAGAGGTCTGGAGGGGCAGCGAGGGGCCCCAGCAAGTTACCTCCTTCTCCGCCTTGGCCTCCTCCACAGTCACGGTGCTGTGGTTCTTGTGCTCCTGGAACATGCAGAGGTAGCAGATGCAGGTCTGGTCCGTCTGGCAGAAGAGCTCCATGGTCTTGCCGTGGAGGGGGCACTTGCGGGCCTCGAAGTCCCGGATGGGCTCGAGCAGCTGGTGGTCGCGGAAGGCAGCGCCCTCCAGGTGGGGCTTGAGGTGCAGGTCGCAGAAGGAGGCCTGGCACACCAGGCAGGACTTGACGGCCTTCTGCTTGTTGCCGATGCAGGAGTCACACAGGACCTCCTCGGAGCCCGCCTTGGAGCGCAGGAGGCTGCCAGGGTCGGCCCGGGGGTAGCTGTTCCTCCGCATCTCCCCGGGCTCCACGATGGACACCGTGGGCTTCCGGGGCTCCGAGAAGATGGACTTGCGCAGCTCCCCCTTCTCGGCAAAGGTGACAGGCGGTTTCTTGGCCGCCCCCAGCTGGAGCCCAGCGTAGGGTGACCTCCTGCCTTCCCCAGAGTCCATGCTGAAGTAATTGGAGCCCTTCTCATCCACGGACTCGACAAACTGGATGATGGGCCGTCGCCACTCGTTCCCCAAGAACAGGGAGCCTTTTCCCTCACCTGGCCTCAGGGGGCTCCCCAGGCTCTTGCCCTCGGCCGTCTCCCCGCCGTGCCCATTGATGGTCTTGGCATCTTTGCCATCAGCCTTGGCTCCATTCTCCAGGCCACCGGTGGGGCCCATTGGGCTGCGGGCATCCCTGGCTTCTGGGCTGGCCCCGTTGCTCCTGGAGGCATCTGCAGCTTCCATCGCGGGTCACTTGGCTGCCTGTTTCGGGCTCCCTGGGACTGTGGGGCGACCTCTCGGGAGGGCGTCTCAGCGGGGAGTGGGACAGCCAGCCAGCGAGCCTGGAGACACACCTATAGGGAACAGGGAGGAGGAGGCAGAGGAGGAGCCGAGAGGAGGGGCAGCGGGTGCTAGCCTGACACAACGGGCCTGGGCTGGGGAGAAGCCGGCGAGCCAGCAGAGCAGCTCATTACACAGGGGCCACGCCCTGCACCTTAAAACCCAACCTGATTTTTTAAAGAAGTGTTTTTTCTCTCCCCCAGTTTAATTGTTTTCCACAGCTCAGCAACCAGTTGGACTGCTTCCTTCTGACTCACTTTCCTCTCATGGTGGGAAGCCTCTGTCCTCACAGGTGGGTTGGCTTCACTGAGCCCGGCTGCCCCTGGGGCCCGATGGTGAGGTGTCCACAGAGGCCCACCGGACAGAGTGCCATTAATCGTGTCACACAAGCCAAATAGCCTCATAATTTGTGGGCCTGGGTTTCCGAGGAGAGATCCCTCACCCTGGGTCAGGGGAGTTGCTTCTCACCTTAAGGGGAAGGATGGGTTCCGTCTGATTTGTATTTTAGGATTTGGAGTGAAGTGGCTACTGATTATTTATTACTGAATCCTATTATTGATTCTTATCACTGAACCCTACTTGCCAACTTCCAGGCACTGTCCTAGGTACATTCGTATATGAGCTCACCTACTCCTCACGACAACCTATTCAGTTACCCCTATTCAATAGGTGAGAAACTGAAGCTCCAAGAAAATAACTCACAGGCCTGAGTCAAGTGGCAGAGCTGAGATTTAAACCCAAGGCCTCTGAGATGCAAAATTTCCTTCTTCAGCTAGGGTGTCCCTGAATTATGTCAGCGAAAGATGGCTTCTGAACATCACGCCTGTCCCAGCGACTCTGACGCGACGCAGACAGACCTTACATGATCACTATCAGAGCAGTTCAGAACCTGCCTGGATCCAAAGGACAGAGAAATAGTAATGAGGGAATGCAAGCAATGCCCAGCCAGGTGGCTGGATCCTCAGTGCCCAGACACTTGACTTTCATGTCTCCATTGTAGGTTTGCTGTGTGACTCAGAAAAAACTTGCCCACCCTCTCTGGGCCTGGCCACAGGCAATAACCTCCAAAGAGAGGCCAGTGAGGTGTGGAACTCAGGTAATCTAGAAGTGAGCTGTCGGAGTATGACTATCATAAAATAGACACCTCAGGGAGAAAAGTGAGAACCACTACTCCAGCTGCTCCCTCTCCCTGACCACCTGCAGGAACACTGGGGACCCTCAGCTCTCGCCAGGACATGCCACCTTGTCACTTCTGGGCTGCGACCCACTGCCATGGTCCTGGGAACCCAACACTCCCATCGAGTAAAGGGCTGTGCCTCTCCCAGCCTGGGCTGGACAGGGCAGAGCGGAAGGTGGGTGTGGCTCAGGCAGCAGGTTCTGGGCTGCATGTAGGGGAGTGGGTTTCCCTTCTTCCTCCTGAATCCAGGTCAGGCCCCGGGAGCCCCCGCCCCTTTGGCTCACCAGGCTGAACAGCTAATCCCTTGCAATAACAGCCCCTGGGAACAAGAGCAGAGACGAGCTCGAGCTCGGTTAACAAAGCAGCCAGAGTTTTAAGAGGAGGTGTGGGTGGAGAGTGCTGGTTTCCTGATGGGGACTCCCTCTTACCTGATGTCTCTGTTCACAGGCCCCACAGGAGCCCCCTCTTGTTTGAACTCACGGGTAAGTTGGCTAAGAGCTCATGAGGCCTTCTGAGCTCCTGTCAAGGGGAAACTTTCCTCAAAAAGTCAAGCCCAATCCCACCAGGCTCTTGCCCAAATCACAGAGAAAGAGGGAGAGAAAGAGAATTCCTGTCCTGGTCCGCAGGATGGGGACACGCCCCTCCCTCTTCCCCTGATAGAGTCTCCCAAACCCTGTGAGAACAGGTGATGAGGAGAAAAGAATAGGGAGGGCAAGAAGAAGCAGAGGAGGAAAACCGAGGGCTTCTGGTTATGGATCCAACCTCAATGCTGGCTGAGCCAGCTGCACTGGGAGGCCTCTGCTAGTCCCTGGAGTTCACGCACCTGTCTTCTGGAAGTCTGGGGAAAGATTCTGAGCCTTGGGAATAGGCCAACACAGAGCAGATGCTCAGAAAACCTTTGTGGATGGACAGATGGATGGATGAGTGGGTAGATGTGTGCAAGAAATAAAAGTTAGATGGATCCAAATGGAAAAATGGATGAATGGATGGGTAAAAGATGCGTGGATGATGGGTGAGTGGGTGAAGGGATGATGGATGAATGAATGGGTAGGTAGCTGGTAAACTGGATAAAATAATTTTTAAAAAGGAAGGGGAAAAGGGAGGAAGAGAGGGAGGAAGGAAGATAGGTGGGAAGGAGAGAGAGAAGAGGAAGGAAGAGAAAGGAAGGGAGGAGACAGACAGGTAGTAGGTAGGTAAGGGTGCTGATAAAAGTTCAGCAACTGGCTCTTCAAGGGTGAAAGCACTGGTTTGTAGTGTTTGTCAATTTCTCCCACCCTGGCCAGTTTCAAGCTACCAATGCAAGGTGTGCTGGGAAGAGACGCACACGATCGGCGCTCCTGAGCCCGTGTGAGCCAGCTCTGGCACGTCGTGGAGGATGGTGGGTGGTTGAGGTGGATGAATAGATTGTAGGAGGGAGACTAGAAAGACGGATGCTGGAGAATGCCACTCTCAGTTGTGCTGAGGAAAGAGAGCAGGTTCAAGGGATCTCAAGGCAATGGAAGACAAGGCGGATTTACCTCTTCCACGGGGCTTTCCCTCTGACCCAGCACACAGCGATCGCTCCCTCCTCTGAACCCCTGTAACATCCCTGTCTGTCCTACTCAGGCATTTAGCTCAGACCACCCGATGTTATTGATTACGCATTCATTCACACAGATTTCTCGAGCGTCCTTTCAAGTGCCAGGCTCCAAACAAGGGGCAGATCCCACAGACAGGAACAAGTCCCAGATCGTGCCATTGGGAGCTCACGGTCCAGTCAGAAAACAGACAGTGAGGCAATCCTTTGAATTTGGCGTGAACAATAAATGAGAGAAATACATGAGAGGGGCTTGGGCTGCCCAGAGGAGGGAGAGCCCAGGATGTGCTGAGAGAGACCTGTCTCTCCAGCCCGGCCGAGCGTGGCTCACTTCCTGTGCACAGAAGCATCCTCCCTGGCCAGACAGAGGCAACATTTGATTTGACTCAGCAGGTGTTTATTCGGTTGAATTCACAGTTGATGCTGGTTGACTGGTCTTTTGATCCTCCTGGACAGGGGCCCCAGACTCATCCCTCCCATGGGCGGCTGCTCCTTCGAAATGCCTGGTGCACAGTAGACTTTCCGGGGGATCCCCAGAATCCACGGGCTGAAATGACCTCAGGGGAAGAAGCTAAAGAAACAACTCTCCTTCCAGGACTGACTCCAGCCCTCGCACCACTACCCTGAGCCCACCAGCCCTGGGGCTGAACTAAAGAGGAAAGGATTCCTACCCTGCAGAGCACCGAGGTCTGGGGTGGCCCTGAGAACCATTCATGGGAAAGTGATCGGCCCCAGAGCTCACCCCAACTCCTCACTCCAGCTCTGCCGTCCATGTCCATCAAAGGGGCTAGCTACCCTCAACCCCGTCTGCTGGGGTCCAGCCCCTCTCCAACCCCAAATCCAGTTGCACAGGTTCCACAAAAGGGCATTTCCTGGCGGCCCGCAGAGCCTACGTGTCACGTGCAAACTGGCAAAAAGCCCCCAAAGGCTGTCATATCCACCACTGTGGCTGAGGGGTCCTGGAAGCAGAAGAACCGCTTCATTTTTAAAGGACTTGAAAGAACGGGATCCTTTGAACTTCCTCAGTCACTCATCTCCCATCTTATCCAGTTCTCCCACTGGTCTAGCTTAAAGCCTTCCTGTTGCAACATTTCCCCCTATGCCAGGGGAAGGTGGGATTTGACTGGCTGCCAGCAACACCCCATCCCTCGCAAGGTTTAGCAGGTAAGAAGAGCTGGCAGATGTGGCTTCTAGAAAAGGACTCTTAGGAAGCAGGAGTGAATTCTGCCTCTTCAGACTAGGCATACCCTGCCAGCCAGCCCCCATGGGGTGCCTTCCTCCCACACGCATCCATCAGTCAACCCCAAGCGTCCTCCCAGGCTTCCTTCACGAGGCATTTCAAAGCCAGTCCCCTCCTGGAAGATGCCCTTGATTCAGCGGGTGGAGCCGCCTCACCCCCCACTGCTGAGGCCTGGCACACCTGAAGCCCTCACCAACCACCTTCCGATGAAAAAGGAGAAACTCCCCTGGCTTCCTTGGAATCCCAGGGTTGGGAGGGAACAGTCAGCTGGTCCACTCCCTGCCTCTGAGCAAGACTGTATCTAGAACGGCTTCTAAAAGATCTGAAAGGAAAAAGATTTCACGATCTCTCTCAGCCACTCAGTCTCAAGCTTTAGGACTATTCGCTGCAGGAAGTTCTTTGAGTCTAACTTAAACACTCTATAAATGATGGAGTTGGAGTTGAGGAACTGAGCATCTGGCCCTGCAAAGGACTTGATAAGGAGCAACCCTCTCCGGAGGGGAGGGCTCTTCCAGTCTTAGTGCTTGCACGGTTCGGTTGACTCCTTGGCGTCTCGGTCCTTTAGGAGTGCCTCCAGTCAGAGACAGCAGCAAGAAGGCTGTGGTGGTTCAAAACTTTATGGCAATAATAAGATTTCTGAAGTGGAATTTTCTCATTTCTGCTATCCAAATACTACAGAGTTTATGCTGAAATTGGAGGGGTTTTGATTACATATTAAGAAGAACTCTCTAGATTGAGCAGTACTGTTTCTGCTACTATGAATTCCCTTCTTGGAAGAACTTTTTAAAAAGGACCGATTTCCACCTCCTAGAATGTTTCCGGCCCCTCCCTGGGAGGGCGATGGAAGAGAAAGGAAAAAATATTGGTAGCGCATCTCCAGTGGGCCGTGGTCCCAGCTCTGGGGCACAGAGAAAATAAGGTGCAGTCCCTACCCCTAAGGGACTGGGTCCCCCCAGATTCAAGTAACAGTCCTCTTACTCCCGCTGCGGGCACTGCCCTTTGCTCCTTCCAAGA